GTCTGACATTTAAGTAGATTTTTCACTTACGTCAACATTTGTAAATAAGTCAGCATCAAGAGCCTAAGGTTATTTGGCATTCTATACTTTATATAGCTTACTTATTATGTTTAAGGCACGGCACTTATAAGAAATTGTCTAAAAGGAATATATTTTCTAGGATGCATCCTCATGTTTTCTGCTGTAGTTAAGCAGCAGAGTCTTTCATGTAGGCTCTGCTGCTACTGCTTTTTTCAATAGTGTGATCTTTTCTTGTTATTTCAGAGGTGACAAGGATCACTAACTTTCTGCTGCAGAAATTTTAAACAAAGAGCCAGAAAGTAAAAATGTTTCTTACATGATGTGACCTCATTTTTTGGTGCGACTCAAAGGATAAAGTAATTAGAGGGTTTTGTGCATTGTGGGACTTGAAGAAAAATAAAGATTCAGTACACTAACTATATTAGATACTCAGAAAAGGTGACTCTTCCAGCATATTGAGTGTTAAGTTATATTTAGGTATCACTACCTGTTTTGTAGTCTTCCTAGATGGTAGATGGTATATGTTGTGTATCTCAGTACAAGTAGATTTTGCTGATTACAAATAGCAAGAGAGAAACCTACAAATGTTTGTGTTCTTTTGTTATTAATTTTTACTTATTAATTGCAATACTTTCTTGAAAGCATGAAGTTAGGAACAGAAAGACTGGGTACAGACATTACACTTTTATTGGTATAAATGATTAGAAACCAGTTTATACCTGTAACAGAACAGAAGTCTGGCACACAAAAGTGATCTAATCTTGTATCAGAAAAGAAGTTCAGCACACACAGACTGCTTTAAAAATGGAAGAACTCAGTCTAAGATTTGCCCTCCCCCCACAGACAAAGGTGAATGTGTGTTCTGTTCTTTACTGATCTAAACTATGCTGCTTATAGAAAACTGCGTAACTTAGATCAATTCCACCTCGAGCTTTTTGAATTTCTGTGCCTAGCCAAGAAGTGTTACCAATTTTCTCTGGCCTCCAGGTTTGGCAAACTTCATGGTCACCTCCGCTGTATTTACTTTCTTATTTTTCTTTCTTAGTAGCAGTATTTCAGTATCAACAATATTAGCAGTAGGGCCATGCATTTGTGTGTAGTTACTGTCATAGTGACAGTCAGAAATCCTTATAGATCAGCAAGCTAAAAGCCTGATTTAAATAATAGATTTTTATCAACTTTCCCACTGTCTATATTTTTTGTTGTTTTTTAAAGAAAGGTGTATCCAGAAGCCTTCCAGCAATATCTGTTCTGTTGGGTGAAGTGTAACCTGGTAATAATGACTGAACCATGTCAGTGAAATCTTTGTTCTGAACAAGCTGAAAAGGATAATTTGTTGCATGAATGAACCGAGCCATCTTTTCATCTATGTTGTCCTGCTGGACTTTGCTGGTCCTGATTATGAACTAATCTACAGTTTTACATGATAATGAGAAAAGTCTCTTTTTGGATACAGGTAATTTACCATCTGAAGTATGTTTAGTTGCAGTACTACTGGTGGTACCAGTAGATGATTCTGGAGTTGCGGACATTGCGGATGATGGATGTTCGTACTTCCTTATGTCTAAGGTGGATCCTGAAACAAAATGGTTAAAGAATCCCTGAGTGTTATTCAGTGTACTAAAAGAGAGAGAGAGAGATTGTAAATGAAAGATCCCTCTAATAGCAGATGTTTTTAAACCAGTGTTTAAATGACATATTTTTTCCAAACTTAGTTCAGTAGGGAAAATATTCAATAAATCATAAAAAGTTATCTTCTATTTAAACCCTTTTCTTACCAATATAAAACAGCGTGAAAATTTACATTTTTATTTTAAAATACATAGATTCATATTAAACTTTAATTTCTCACAGGATCTCTTTAAGGCTCATATATTTACTTACACTGAGGAATAAAACTCATTTCAGAAGTGCACAGGTAATGTAAAAATGTATAATTGACAAACACTCCCACAAACTAGCACATCCATTAGAATTTGTACACAAACATTTTGAAATTCATCAGTAATGCACCCAAAATAACTTCCATTATTTTCATAAATATATCATTTACTAGCATTGCAATCTATGGCAGGTAATCCATACAAATGGTTCAAAAATAGTAAGTGTACCAATCAATTGATCCCGATGTCTCAGACTTATCCGCATCACCATCTTCAAGCTCATTACCTTCTGAGGAGCATTTTACATAATGTTGCTTCATTTGGACAACCAGGGCTTGCATCTCTGTTGCACTGTTTACATTTGGCATGTGTTCCTCTTTTTCCCAATGGCACAGAATTTCTTGAAAATATTCCCAAATAGGGTCTTTTTCTTGTAACCTGCACCCATGGCATTTTTTTTTCTCCAGTTTCAAGGTGCGGAAATCAAGCCTAGTCTATGCTTCACAGAATGTTGTTCCTTTTCCTACACTGTCTTGAGCCTGATGTTGGTCCTTTCTGTTGGTATTGTAACCTCTGGCCTAGTGTACTGCAGTATTTTAGTTTAGAGATGTGGTGGAACACTTGGGCTAAGTATAGACATTCATAAAAACTGAGCCTGCTAGTCTAACCTGTGTAGATTGAACCGATTTGCAAGTGTATAGACATTCACTTTTTGACTGGAAATGCAGCCATGTGCCTGCAGCAGCTCAGGCTAGAAGCCAGAGGGTGCTAGAGCGAGCCCTCCCTTCCCTTTGGCAGTAGCTGCAAGGCTGGAGGGAAGCTGAGTTTGTGTAAGGGCAGGGGTGCATGGCCAGGCCCTGGCAGGCCACTGAGTATGTTTGGGGAGGGATTTAAACCCCCACACTGGCCTGCAGGGACTTCAGGCAGGGCAGACGTGCGCTGTGGTCCCATGTGGGTGGGAGAAGGGAGGCGGTGGGGTTTAATTTCCCTCCCTCCCCCTGAGCCTGCTGGCGCACCCTCCTCTCCCTCTGCCCTGCCATCTCTACTCCAGTGGGGAAAAGTCTGGCAGGAGTTGCTCTGCCCCTGCCAGGCAGACAGGGCTGTGCCAGCCAGGTTTCCCACCCCCACCCCCTTGTCAGCCAGCTGTCACTGCTCAGGCTAGGGAGTAGAGGGGTGGGACCAACCCTGTTCTGCTGGAGCAGACAGCACAGCCCAGTCCAGTCCAGGGCTGAAAAGCATGCTGGGTTGCTGGGGGACTCTGATTTAATTGGAACCAGGAAGGGGTCTGGGACAGAAGTTTCATAAACCAGTTTGACCTAAATCTGTTAAGTCTGATACTACATTCAACCAGGTTTATCTTAAACCAGGTTTGGCCATTTTGAAACTGGTTTATGTGCACTGAATTTCTGTTCTGTTACAGGTTTAAACCAGTTTCTGATCACTTAAATCTGTTTGTGTGTAACTTCTATCTCTAGCCTTGAGAAGTTACATGTTTACCTCTCTGTATATATGCAAGGGAACTCAAAGAAGGCCATTTAACTGAAATACCCAGAACCATTCCGAAACAAGGGGTTGGTAGTTACTGAGCAGATGGTTGTTTTTCCATGAACTAGAGAGTAAGCCTTCATTATGGATGCAGAATCATAAATATTTATAATTTTGAAAGCTGAGTTAATCAGGGCTCAGGTAGAGAGAAGAAAACAGGAATCTGATACCATCCAGATGGGCTAGTGGATATGCTTGATTAAGGAGTACCCATAGTGGTGTCTCCTGAAGTCAGAGGCCAAGTTTCAACACCAGGGATGACTTTGTTGATCCTTGAATCCAGTGTTATAGACCCTGCATCTCTTGCATGGTCAAGCCCCTAATACATGTAATATTGTGCCATATTTTTAAAGCTTGACCTCAAAAGTTAAATTCCTCCCCCCATTCTTATATAGAGAAAATCAACCTTTAACTCTAGAGTTTTTAGAAGAGGCTCATTGACTCAACATATTATTTTATTTAAATTATTTTACCAGATTATACTAAGTTTATACTGTAGCCTATGCTGTATTAAATTTAGATTGCATTTTAAGATGGTTTATTTTTTAAAAGGAAAAATTAATTATGATTTAAATAAAACCAAAAACCCTCAATTTAAATTAATCTATTTTTAAAATTTTTTTATCCACCTTGTTTTGAAATAATTATTAGAACTCAGAAAACTCTTCTTTGCTATATTAGAATAATTCTGATGGATCAAGTTTGAGCCAATATATGCTGCCTTTAATTTTACTTCCTTGGGGACCAGGGAGACTTGAATGGACCATTTTAGACAAAAGAGAAACTTGTGTTTTTCGTTCCTTGCAATTATGGAGTCCAGTGTGAGTTTGGATACCTTTTTCTGTTAGATATTAAAAACTCTCTGCTGAGCATGTTTAATTCGGGGTAAATTATGGTGGTTTAGCTTCACTTCCACAGATTAGGAGTGGACAGGTTAAAACATTACATTGGAATGGCTGACATGTGCCAATTGGTAGGGCCTCCTGCAATAATTATCATAACAACCAAATGCCTTTTAATGGAAGGGGAGCATGTAAAATCTACAGAAAAGAAATGCTTTAAAGATGCTTACCTTTGCTACATCATATTTCCCTGTCTAGTGTTTTAAGCAAAGAGACAGAAGCAAGGAACATTACATTTGAGTTGTAGTTTAGTACAGTTTCTCTGCTTTGGGCAAACCATTCAGTCTTTTTCTTGGTTTCCTTTCAAGGGAGAGGGCATAGCAACTAAGCTGTATATAGGTTTTGTGAGGGTTGAGGAGTGGATTGTTATAAAAAGACCTGGTTGGAGAAAAAAACTGCATTGTTTGAAGGGATTTTTTTATTTGATTTTTTTCCAATTTAAAGAAAAATGGCATTCTAATTGGAAAATGCTTTGAAAATGACAGATGATAGCAATGCTTACTGTTGCAACTTGTTTTAATATTAAATATATTCATTTCAGTAAGGCTGTTACAGCAATGTACCAACAAGTCTTTTTTTCCTTTTAGTGCAAAAATGGAGCAACCTTCCAGTAAGTACTTAAGTAAATGTTTGTCCTCTTACATTTCAGCTACCTGACTGCAAATCACAACCAGAATTTCTTGTATACTGCACGACCCTTTTTAAAGAGAGCTGCTTTGGTTATAAGCTATGTAAGTATTCTTCTCCCCCCATCCCTTTTTTTTCAAAAGTTGTTTTTAGGTATAAATTATAACAAGTATTATTCCAAGCAGTAGTATCCCTAAAAAAATATTTTCCCTCCTCAAGTCCTTTTTCAGTTTACAAATGTTGTAATAGCAATGTCTTTGTAAGTATTTCACCTCTTTCCTATTCTAAACATAGGGAAATGTACAGTATACCAGGGTAGCTGGCAAATATTGACTTTTCAATGCTAATTTGTAAGTTCATGGGCAAAATGAGAAGTGTAACAAAACTCCAGTTCAGAGAACAGTTGATCAGCGCACTGTATCCAGAAGATTTCATAGACATTAGGGCTGGAAGGGACCTCGGAAGATCATTGAATCCAGCCCCCCGCCCAAAGGGCAGGAAGTCAGCTGGGGTCATAGGATCCCAGCAAGATAAGCATCCAATTTGCTCTTGAAGGTGTTCAATGTAGGTGCTTGAACCACCTCCGATGGCAGGCTGTTCCAGACCTTGGGGGCTCGGACAGTAAAGAAATTTTTCCTTATGTCCAGCCTGAAA